TAAAGTACTAGTAGGCAGGTTTTCTATGGATTGTCAGGTTTTGTTATTTTTATTTTATTTTATTTTATTTTATTTTATTTTATTTTATTTTATTTTATTTTATTTTATTTTATTTTATTTTATGTGCATTAGTGTCAAGTTGTCAGATCCCTTGGAATTGGCATTACAGACAGCTTTGAGCCGTCATGTGGGTGCTGGGAATTAAACCCATATCTTTTGGAAGAGCAGACAATGTTCTTAACCACTGAGCCATCTCTCCAGCCCCGGACTGTCAGTTTTTTTGGAAGCCAAATCTCCTAATTTTATTATGTGATAATTATCTTGTTTTTCTCAAGGGGTGATTAGGAAACTTGGAGTCTAGACTAATATTAAGTAAAATTTCTTTTTTACTACTGTGTCATAGGTAAAGAATCATGTTGCAGTCCTAACCCAAAGATACAATGAAAATACTTTTCTAATTATAATGTCAAGAGATTGCTTATACCAATAAAATTTTGATGCTGAGAATTCACTGTTAAAAGATATTTGATGCAGCATCAAACTTGAGGCTTATTGAAAACTGCTTACAATTTTTTTTACCATCAGAACTTCAGATACTGTCTATCTCCTAGTTCAGCGTAGATAGATCATTCATCAGGGTTCTTGGTTCAGCAGAGCTGACTGCAGGAAAAGAATACATGTTGGCCCCTTATATCTGCTTCTCGTGCATGCACATGGAGGTCACAGGACAACTTGTGGGAGTCAGGTAACTCTTCTACCATATGAAATCATACCGGACTGTGGGGCTGTGCTGGATAAGGTTGAAGTTTATTTATTTGTGCTTAGTCTATGATCATAGACTCCTTTTTCTCATCAGGGTTTTATCTCCTCTTATCTGGGTAATTCCAGATCTTGTAAGGAGGTCACATAGCCTTCAGGACAGATTACAGGCCAGACCCTTCCCTAGTAAGAAAACTGTTCTAGGAATTCCTAGAAATGGCCCACCTGCTAAGGATCTTAGTCCAGCAGTGACCTTCAATTGTACTCGGAGATCCTGTGGCCACTTCCCCTCCCGATCCCTACCATACGATAATTAAGGCCTGTATTTTTCTTTTTGTGATATGTATTCCTGACCCCTTGACTCCAGAGAATCAAACACGTTTACCCTTGGAATCCCTCCCTTTGCCTAGGGTTTATCTTGCCCTTAATTACATATGAATAAAAATTCTGCTTTCTCACTTCAAGACTGTCTGAGATTCATCATTTATCCTCTGCTGGGTCTCACCGGGCCCACCCTTTGGAACCTTGGGTTCCGGCCTTGCCAGGCCTGTGTCTTGGTTACAAGCCAACCAGGAATGGACCTTGGCCCAAAGCACATTGGAGCTTTCATTGCCACCTGCGATCTCATGCTGAAAGAGCCAAACTATAACATTGTGGAAAACCTTTTCCGCTCCCCAGCTTAGTGTATTCAGGCCTCACTCAAAGGCACTGTAGCTGCCCCTGAGAGAAATGGGATCTGGTTCTCTGTCTGGAAGCTGAGTGCCAGAGCCCAGCAGAAATCCAGGCCCCCACTGAATGGAGAATGGCACTGGACCATCTCACTGGCCCCAAAGCAATAGCTTTTAGATGTGTTTCTTCTCTAACCCATCCTCTAGTCACTACTTTCTCTGGACCATCTTCCTATTTTCTGGCCATTCCATTCCAGTGCTCTTTCAAGTTCCTCATTTTACTCCCTACACTGCAATGTCAAGTTCTCATGATTTAACTTTGTAAATTAATTTCATCTCTACTCAATTACTCTGACTTCATTCATCCTTGGGCTTTTGCTGACCATCCTTAGTGTAGTTCCCAACTTAAAACTCCTAACCACATCTTTCTGTAAATCCCAGACAATATATCCAGGTGTCAAGGTCAAACCGTCCAGTTTCTGGTAATGAGGACACTTTCATTTTGCCAACAATGTTAGCATATGATGTAATTAAAATTGAGTATCTGATCCTAGAGTGGTGATGTGCATCTCTAACACCAGCTTGCACCACACAGTGAGACTGTGCTTCAAAATTATTAATAATTTTATGTTTCCTACCGATAAAGGAAATTTTCCATGAGAAAAATGAGGTCCCAACTGTTTAAACCATGTTCTATTTTATCTGAAAGCTATCATGACCAGGTGTTACTTGGCTTATTGTTGTTGTTGTTGTTGTTTGTTTGCTTTTTAAGACAGGGTTTTACTGTGTTCCTCTGGCTGTCTGGGAACTCACTCTGTAGACCAGGCTGGCCTGGAAATTCACAGAGATCTTCTGGTCTCTGTTTCCTGAGTGCTGGGATTAAAGGTGTCCGCCACCACAGCCTGGCCTCAGGTATTACTTGTAAATTGATTATACTGGAACCTTCATGCTTCATTTGAGATTAAAGAACCAGCCTTGACATTGAATTAAGAATAAACAGGTAAAGTGTCTAAAAGTAAAACTTGAATAAAAACATTAATTAAAATATGAAGGTAAATGTTTTTGTTACTAGTGAGATGTGAAGGTGAACATGATCTCCAATGTGCTAAATACTAAGATATAATAAATGAAAAGTACAGTAAGTGTATTGGAGTTGTTATAATAAAGTACAAGAGTAAACACTGCAGCTGAATGGCCCTAAGTAGATGCTTTTAACACATACTGTTTAACATGGCCACCAAATGCAGGGACAAAATGGATTCATTTCATGATGAAAGCAGAAAGGATAGTCTTTTAAAATAAATGCTGGTGGCTGGCTCAGAGGTTAAGAGTACTGGCTGCTTTTCAGAGGACCCCGGGTTCAATTCCCAGCACCCAAGTGGCAGCTCACACCTGCCTGTAACTCCAGTCCCAGGGTTTCTGACATCCTCACAGAGTCACACATACAGACAAAACACCAATGAGCATTAAAAAAAAAATTAAACATTGGAATATGAGGAGCATATGTCCCTAATAGCCATTAACGTTCTTGTCTGGTTTTTCATCTAGTAACCTTGCAAGCTTAATAGTGAAAGGATTGATGTCATGATTTTGCTCCAATAACTTCTCAGGCAGTGATCTCGTTCTTTCTTTTCCTGGTAGAAAGTAATCCCTTGGAAGTGCCTCTTCACAGTCAGCCCACATTTCCCAGCCGGTGAGGGAATGCTCACCCCAACTCCTGTACCAAACACCCTCCCAGAAAGTCCCTTGCTGGTAAGAATTTCTCAAGACCAGTCTGGTTTCAACAAAGCTCTTGTATTAAACAGGATGGAGATCTGCTGGAGCAGCTGGAAAAAATGTTCTACTAGTCTCCCTGGGTTCCTGCAACTCATCAGAAACAACAAGGAAAAGAGGGAAGGAGGAAGGGAGGAAGATTAGTCACTCACAGTTAAGTAACTTATGGTGCATAAGCTCTCCATACCAATTTTGGAAAATAAACTGAAAAAAAATCTATATATGTTTTTTATATGTTTTATATATGTTTTTTATATGTTTCAGTATATATGCCATTTAGAAAAGAACCAGGAAGTGGAAGAGAAGAATATATGTATATTCTTAGTTTTCATACAAGTAAACCCTAGAAGGAATTGAAAGACAGTAATAACTTCAAACTTTGGAGAATAGAGAATTATGGCAAGTTATATACATACTTTCAAATCAAAATTAAAATCTGCCATTAGCTAAAAAACCACATGTTAGTAAAAATACCCATAAAAGGGAAATTTCACCGAAGGGAAATGCAAACCCAAGCATTCATGGTAACAATATTTTGGAAACATTGACTTCAATATTCTACCAAATATTATCATTATCCAAAAAAGGATAAAGTTTTGTCTCCAAATCCTCTAAGCTTATTACAGATTCCATAAGACAAGAGAGGACAAGGATTGTACACTCAGGAGAAAACAGTGGACCAAGTAAATTATAACACGTTTTAACTTTTGGGAAATTGTGTAACCATCTCTTTGGCCGCCTCCCCCTGATGGGGGAGCAGCCTAGCCAGTCCACAGAGGAGGACAATGCAGCCAGTTCTGATGAGACCTGATAAACTATGGTCAGATGGAAGGGGAAGAGGACCTCCCCTATTCGGAGACTTGTAGAGGGGCATGGGAGGACATGAGGGAGGGAGGTTGGAATCGGGAGGGCATAAGGGAGGGGCCTACAGCTGGGATACAAAGTGAATAAACTGTAATAAATATAAAAAAAAATAAAATTTTAATTTAAAAAATAAGTGTTTGAAAAACAAAATAGCGAAAAAAATATTTATAAGGGCATTATTTCTCCCGATAAAATAGTTAAAATATATCATTAGGACCAAAATTTGGTAACAAGTTAAATGTCATGTGTTTTAAAGGCTTAAAAAAACTTTTACAACCAACATTTTAATTGGTGTGCTTATTAAAGTGTGATTCAAACTGTAAAACTGTTCTTGAAGAAAAATAAAATAAAATAATACAATGATTTCTTCTGCCACGTTTCTTTTCAGTTTGGACAAAGGCTGCATTTCGTTGCTGTTCTGGCACGAGACAGTAAGCGCACATCTTAAAAAGAAAGCGCTCTTAAAAAGTGCTGAGAAAACATCGCACAGCAGGCGCTGGCTCACGCACGCGCATTCCTGTAAGCTTACATCATGGCCCCTCCCCAGGCCTCGCTGGCTGCGCGTAACCCCGCCCCCAGTCCCCCCCGCGCCCTGCCCCCACCGTCTCCCGGCCAGGCCAGCCACGCAGGCGCACCAGCTGTGCAGCCGCTCCTAGCCCGGGGGATCCTGGGATTCGGCCTTTCCGGAAGGACGGGTTCGGTGTCGTGGCTAGGCCGCCGTTCCAGGCCCAAGCCAGAGTTCCAGGCCCCGCTCTGAGCCAAGCCTGTGGCCGCGGCGACGCGGCGGGGACCGTAGAGGGCGCAGCCGCGGCTCGTTGAGGTGCGGAGCCTGGAGGGCGGCGGCCGCGGAGCGCAGTCCGTGTCGGCCCCTCCCCCGCCCTGAGCGCCGCGGCGGAGGACGACAGCGCGGGCCGGACGGGGTGAAGCGGTCCTGTAACTGCCTCAGGTGATGACTCACCCGCCCTCGGGTCAGATTTGAGGGCCGCGGTGCTCGTCGGTCCTGCTGCGGGGCGGGCGTCGGCGTGCCCGGTGCGGTGCTGCGGCGACCGCTTGCCCTTCGGTGGCCCAGCGTTTCCGCAGAGCGTTTTCTTCTGTAACGTTTGCGGCCTGCGGCTCGCTGCGAGCGCAGGGCTTTCACATGAAGGTGTCTCTCGGCAGCGGCGAGATGGGCGTCTCTGCCCACTTGCAGCCTTGCAAGGCAGGAACTACTCGGTTTTTTACCAGCAACACGCACAGTTCTGTCGTGTTGCAAGGCTTTGATCAGCTCAGAATAGAAGGGCTGCTTTGTGACGTGACTCTCGTACCTGGAGATGGAGATGAAATATTCCCGGTTCATAGAGCCATGATGGCGTCCGCTAGTGATTATTTCAAGGCCATGTTCACAGGAGGAATGAAAGAACAAGATTTAATGTGCATTAAGCTTCATGGGGTGAACAAGGTTGGTCTGAAGAAAATCATTGATTTTATTTATACTGCAAAACTGTCTCTTAATATGGACAATCTTCAGGACACTCTTGAAGCTGCCAGTTTCCTGCAAATCCTACCGGTTTTGGATTTTTGTAAAGTATTTCTTATATCAGGCGTTTCTTTAGATAACTGTGTTGAGGTTGGACGGATTGCTAACACCTACAATCTTATAGAAGTGGATAAATACGTCAATAATTTCATCCTGAAGAACTTCACTGCCTTGTTGAGCACTGGGGAGTTTCTAAAGCTCCCCTTTGAACGGCTTGCCTTTGTGCTTTCCAGCAATAGTCTCAAGCACTGTTCTGAACTTGAACTCTTCAAGGCAGCCTGCCGCTGGTTGAGGCTGGAAGACCCTCGGATGGACTATGCTGCAAAATTAATGAAGAACATTCGATTTCCACTGATGACGCCACAGGACCTCATCAACTACGTGCAGACAGTAGATTTCATGAGAACAGACAATACCTGTGTGAATTTGCTTTTGGAAGCAAGCAATTACCAAATGATGCCATATATGCAGCCAGTAATGCAGTCAGACAGAACTGCCATTCGATCTGATTCTACTCATTTGGTTACCTTGGGAGGAGTTTTGAGGCAGCAGCTAGTTGTCAGTAAAGAATTACGGATGTACGATGAAAGGGCCCAGGAATGGAAATCGTTAGCCCCCATGGATGCCCCTCGATACCAGCATGGCATTGCTGTTATTGGAAATTTCCTTTATGTAGTTGGTGGTCAGAGTAATTATGACACAAAAGGAAAAACTGCCGTTGACACAGTTTTCAGATTTGACCCTCGGTATAATAAATGGATGCAGGTGGCATCATTAAATGAAAAGCGCACATTCTTTCACCTGAGTGCCCTCAAAGGACATTTGTATGCAGTTGGTGGGCGCAGTGCAGCTGGTGAACTTGCTACAGTAGAATGTTACAACCCAAGAATGAATGAATGGAGCTATGTTGCAAAAATGAGTGAACCCCACTATGGCCATGCAGGAACAGTATATGGGGGTTTAATGTATATTTCAGGAGGAATTACGCATGACACTTTTCAAAATGAGCTAATGTGTTTTGACCCGGACACAGACAAATGGACACAGAAGGCCCCCATGACTACAGTCCGAGGGCTGCACTGCATGTGTACAGTTGGTGACAAGCTGTATGTCATTGGTGGCAACCACTTCAGAGGGACAAGTGATTATGATGATGTTCTAAGCTGCGAATACTACTCGCCAACTCTTGACCAGTGGACACCAATTGCTGCTATGCTAAGGGGTCAGAGTGATGTTGGAGTTGCTGTCTTTGAAAACAAAATTTATGTTGTTGGTGGATATTCTTGGAATAACCGTTGCATGGTGGAAATTGTCCAGAAATACGATCCAGAAAAAGATGAGTGGCATAAAGTTTTTGATCTTCCAGAGTCACTTGGTGGCATTCGGGCTTGTACTCTCACAGTTTTTCCACCTGAAGAAAACCCTGGGTCACCTTCTAGAGAATCACCTCTTTCAGCACCTTCAGATCATTCTTAGATCCAAGGTGTAATACCTTTTCAGTGTATTATGGGTGATCTTATACTTCTTCAATTGTCTCTTATTACTACAGTTAATAGACAAAAAGGTAACTTAGGTAGGTTTTCTTGTTTGGCTTAGTATGTTTATTAAATGTCTAACGAGTGCATTTTGAAAAATGTATTAAGTATATTCAGTTGTTTAACAAGTGAAAAAGATACATAGAAAAATCAGAAAATTAGATGTCTTTTGTGGTGTTATATATGTTAAATTTAGATAATCATAGTAAATGTGTAATTATGTCTATTCTACAAAATTAAAAGTTTTGATTTGACTGAAACATCAAGTGGAGGCCCCGTATTCTAACCTAAAATAACAAAAGGTTGCCAAGGTACAGCTACCTCCCTCTTGTATAATTTTTGACAATCTGTTAACTAGGCTATGTGAGGTTTCTTAGGTAGACAGAAATAGTAAAAATACTAACTAAAAGAAACAGTAGGTCAGGATTTGTTATCTCATTGGAGAGAAAAAAACTTTAAAATGTTTGTACACTAATCAGATATACATGCTCACAGAAAAATCTGTGTGTACATAACTTTTAGAGTTGATAGAAACTTCAACTGTAGTGAAAATTACTTTTTTTTCTTCCAGAAAGCAGCTAATTTTATTTCAATGAAAATTCAATACCAGAGAGTTAGTGTCTTAAATAGAACTTGGATAGCTAAGGGCTACAACTAATTAAATTGACAGCCAAATTTGTCATTTAATGAAATTGTTTCTTTAAATGAAATTTAATTAGTTTTTCTGTATATTCTGTAGTTACATGCTTATAGATTACTTAGTAAGTCAGGTTTCAAATAATTGTTTTTTTCTCATTAACTTCTTGTGAAATTTGGGAGTCAGGAAAGGCAAAGAAACATTCTGAACAAAGCTATAGGGTTTTACATTTATTTTCCTGTCTCAGTCACTCTGACATGTTTATTGTGTGATTTTGAGTGATTTCCGGTGCTGCTGTAGCTGATCAGCATCCTGCCTCAAGACTGATCTGAGCAGAGATAGACCTCTGTTCTGCATCAAATTAGAAATTTGCCTTTTCTGCCTTGACTCAAGGACAGGACCAACGTCAGATCCCCTAAGAAGCCAGCTGGTTTCTTTAAGGCTGTGCTAAAGTAGGCCTTCAGCCTTTAATACTGTGGGAATTCTTTCTGGCTGAGAATTACATGGGAAAAATTTAAAGGGACCTTATCAGACAAATGGAATTATAGTGGTCTCCTTGGTAATGAGTGATACTGAGTATGTACTTTCCTGGAAAAAAATGTGTGTGTAGCATAGTCCTGGGAGTGCCAGAGTGTAAATCAGGAGCAATGCCAGTGACAGTCCCTTAATGTAATTAACCAAGGAAAAGATTTTGGCTTCTGGCACCTGAAATTTACTGCCCATACAAGTGTTGATTCATTTTAATGCTGTTTATGATTTCTGCATTGGCATAAATTTTCATACTTTCTATGTTTTTTCAATGACTCCATTTTTTTTATTCAAACATATTTGAGTACTTTTAGAAGTTAAGGCAAAAATTGCTACTAACTTTGTGTATTAAATAGACAGGTGGCATCCTGATGTTTTTTTTTTTTTTTTTTTTTTTTTAATAGCAAGATTGAATGCTTGTATAGTTTGAATGGCTACATTTTCTCTTTGGTAAAATGTCCATATCTCTTACCTTTTGGAGTTGCTTTGTTTTTCATATCAAGTTACAGGATCTCTTTATATAATAAAATTATTAACTCATATTTTCTGTGTTGCCTTTTCCCCTACCCCCAATCTTAAACTTTTAGTTTTACAATTGAAGGCTTCTTAGTTAGTTTTTGAAACCAAATTTCTCTCTTTTATATTTTGAGCTTTGGATAGCTTTCCTATGGTTTATTTTTAACACAGAATTGATATATTACTTTTTCATTCTGATTGTTACATGCTGAGGTGATATTGCACAGCTTATTTTCTATACATGCTTTTCTTTCTTTTGCTAAAAAAGGATTTCTGCCCTCTACTCATTACATTTAACATTCTTGTTTAATTAACAAGTACTCCTCAACCAGGTAAGCATTCGCTCTGTCTGCACCACCCTTCAGTCTCATACATGCACCTCTCTTTTTACTTTCCATGCTCTGTAGTTGATGGCTCTCTTGATAATTGTACAAGTAGCTGTCTCAGACTATGTTACTATGACTAATTAAAACCAGAATTCCCCTTAAGATGGAAGTTTTAGGTTACTAAATGACAAGCATATATCATTACAAAGCATTTTTAACATTTAGTTTTCCCAGTAAGTTTTCAGCAAAGCTTTTCTGGTATAAAAATAAAGTTTGTCCTACAAAATGAACAGGAAAATAAAACGAAGTAAAAGTTATCCTTGATTTTTCATGCCAACCATAACTCCTGTGAATTTTGGGTGCATCTTAGACATACATAGAGACATTGGCAAATATTCAAAGCTGCCAATTCAAGTTTCACAAAACTACTATCAGTATAACTTGCTTAATTTTTCATGTGTAGATGATTGAGCATGGAGTTTATCTCTCATTTTTTTTCTTTTTATTATTTTTATAATTTATTCACTTTGTATCCCGATTGTAGGCCCCTCCCTCATCTCCTGGTCCCACCCTCCCTTCCTCTTCCTCCCCGATCCTCTCCCCTAGTGCATAGGGGAAGTCCTCCTCCCCTACTGTCTGACCCTAGTCTATCAGGTCTGTCAGGACTGCCTGATTCCTCTTCCTCTGTGGGCTGGCTAGTTGTCCCACAAGGGAGAAGTGATCAAGGATCAGGCAACTGAGTTCATGTCAGAGACTGTCTCACATGGAGACTGAGCTGCCTATGGACTACATCTGAGTAAGGGGTCTAGGACGTCTGTATGCATGGTCTTTGGTTGATGCATCAATCTCTGCAGTCCGCCCTGGACCTAGCTTTCTTTGGAAGGATCTGGAGGGGACAGGAGGTTTTTTTTTTTTTTTTTTTTTTTTTTTTTTTTTTTAATATCAAATGCGTCTTAAGAAAAACAGATTCTGTTGGAAGTGGTAGACCATGTTTGTAATCCTAGACTTGGGAAACAGAAACGGGGATTAAGGCTTGTCTAGGCTGCATAGTGAGACCCTGTTAGAAAACAAAAAGGTAAATTGTATTTTCATGCAGCTAAGTCCAAACTTGAATTTTTTTCTTTCTAGCATAGTTTGTACATTGATCATATTAAAAATTTTCTGTCTTATTCTTGAAGTACTTTGTTCTTATGAAGAACATTTCTACACATCACAAAATGTCCTTAGCTCAACTAAAGTCCTCTGACAAGACTTTGGAGGTAAGTTTACATCTATAAGATTCATGTATCCTCTTAACCTGTGGACCTTGTCAAGTTTGCATCTTAGGATCAGAGAAATGGCTCAGTACTTAAAATCCCTGATTGCCCTTGCAGAGGATTAGGGTTCAATATCCAGCACCCACATGGAGGTTCCTAACTATTCATAAATAACTCCATACCGACTTCTATGGGCACCAGACATGTACATGATTCACATACATACATGCAGGTGAAACACTCATAAATCTAAAAGAATTGTATATTGGGGTTATAAGGAGGTGTTTTAAAACTGCCTTACACTAAAGTATTCATTAGGTAGGCAGTAGTTGTGACAAAGGCATATTATAATTTGTGTGCATGTGGGTTCCTGTGTATATATGTGTATGCAGGTTCATGTGTATGTGTATACATGTATATACATGAGTTCATGTATCTGCATGTGTGTATGTGACGTGTGTGTGGGTTCATGTGTGTAAGTGTGCTCAGGCTAGAAGCTGAAGGAGATTTGCTTCTCCACCTTACTCTGTTTTGAGACAGGGTCTCTGAATCTTACGCTCATCAATTCAACAAGGCTGGCTAGCCAGGAAGCACTGAGCATGCTCCAGTCTACATCTCTTCAGTGGTGGAATTACAACTCTTGATTTTTACATAGGTACTGGAATCCAAATGAAGAGTTGTGCTTGTGTGGTACGCAGTTTATTGACTGAGCCATCTCCTCAGCCCCAGCACTTTAGTTTAGATTTTAAATTTTGTTTAATCAGTAATTCAAACAGGTTGTTTGAAAATGTATCCATACAATATTTAACTTCATGATAGTGCCATAGTTTTTACACTTCCCTATATTGATATTTTAAATGTAATTTCTTTAACAAATGAAAGAATAAACATTTAAATGTTCACTTCACCAAGATACTACTGTTAATTACTTTTTAGTGTGACCCCATAAGACCGTTCATCTTTTTTAAAATGGATGTTGCAGAGTTCTTCACACTGATTTTGATATTTAGTATCTGTGTCTTTGAATAGTTCATTGTTGTATTTAAATGGCTGAATAATGATGAAACCTGACTTGGTTTGACTAGAAGTTAAACTTATTAGGATATTTGTTCCCATTGGTCTATAGCTAATGGCTTCCATTGAAAGGAGTGCATTCTTAGAACAAGCTAAAGTTTCTAGACCTATCTCTGCTGTGATCACAAAGGGCATCATGGCATTTTGTGGTTCATATGGAGCAAGATCATCAGAAGTAGTGATCACTGTCTTTTTCTGAAGTTTTTGTCTAGAGCTTGGTTCTAAGGCATCTCACATTTCAATAAATTTTTTTTTTTTTTTCTGAGATGGGATCTCACTGTATAGATCTGGCTGGCCTTGAACTCATGGAGATCTGCCTCCTGAGATGGGATTAAAGGTGTGTACCACCATGCCTGGTTTAACAAGCACTATCTTTTTAATACCCTTGTTTAGCTCTCAGTCTTAATATTTAGTTGTGCCCTTAGCAATTTGCAACCCCACAGATAATTTCTAAATGGATTAATTATCTCCCGTGATACAATCACTATTTTCAAATGGGTTCCCACCCTTCTTTCTATACAATATGTGGAACCTAACTTGAAGGCAGGTATTAAAGATAAACAAGAAAAATCTGATTTTACTTGTTACAGCAGTATGGTGTTTGAAACATTATTGTAGTTCCAATAACTATGTTTGTGGACTCCCAACACCTTAATTTCTTACAAAGCCTTCAATAATATAATCCCTGTTGCCTGGTGAAGGTCTAAAGACTATTGAGATGCCAGTTTACCAGTGACTTCTGGAAGCTTCCTCCAACCCTCACATTCCCCAAATGCTCCATGACCCTGTGTTTTCCTGTCACAGTCCTTGTTGCTGTAAGTGAATGCTCTCTAGTCCACACCCCCACAAGACTGACAGTTCAGAAAACATAGGTAAACACTTAGTACAGAAGTGGAAATAGATTTTTATAGAAAGGACATGTA